GTAAGCTGAATATCGGGACCAATCACTTAGGACCGTCTATCGCCGAACATATTTTCATGTGGTCATTTAAAATTCCTCTCTTTTTCGATTCATAATAATCTTTCGATTAAATCAAAATTACGGTCAAAGTTTTATTACGGGAACTACTCGTCCCACAGAGTTTATCGCACAAATGGATCGATGAACGGTTCACAGAAAGATAAGGAAGGTCGTAAATTTTCTTTGTTTTGTGTACCACTATACAAGTCGAAATCTAGGATATGACAATGTTTCATCTTGTTTGTGCTGAAATAATCTCAAATGCTGCACATTCTAAGGACAAATGAATTCTAGTCGACATTCTATTCGACACTTTTGAAGCATTGATTTGAATGGGTGCCCCACCTCTCCTTGAGGTGAGTGTTAGGCCACAAGGTAAACAGTAAACGGCATGGGAGATCCGGATTTTGCATTATTCAAACACACCAAAATCAAGTCCCCTCGAATTTTAATGATACTGTGTAGAGTACAACCTCCATGGTTCCAGTTTTTCCACATAAGTCTTGGAATGCAATGGTGCAGTCATTGCAGATGGATGTATATATTTTATTACTGTTGCAAAAAATTATAGCAATAAAATAACGTTGATTTTTAAGCGAAACAAAACTAAATTGTTGCCGTTTATTAGCTTCAACCCAATAAATATATGGACCACGTAATAATTCGAGATAATTAGGTTGAGCAGCTGCAAAAAGCCTTGGAGTCGCCGTTCGATGGTCTCGTCTGACTGTCCGTGAAATTTAATCTAAACATTGGGTGAGCGACAATGAAGTAGTGGTGGAACTAAACACTATGAGAACAAAAATACCCCGGCATTACTATCATCATTGTATTGATGCGGCAACATTTCACATAAGTAATACGTGTATATAGCAAATAAAGCGTGAACTGAACATCTAGGAAGCGCTGCACAGCTGTTTCGACCTGGTTGAGTCTCATCTGCAGTGCGAATCTATCGATTCAACTGGAGATCACGATCCCGGGACCTCGCAGGCTGAACACTAGCACTCTACCAACTCGGGCACTGGACATTTGATCAGACACCGTTTTTCATTTTCCATTTACACGATATGGCATAAGCTATCTTTGCGAGCTTGTTGCGGGCCACAGACCCCGCTCATCCCAGCACTAAATGGAAAATACAAAACGTTCTGAACAGCTTTCCGGCGGCCGTGTGATTAACATGCTTACGTGCCGCTTGTGAGGTCCCGGGTTGGCGATCCCCAGCTGAGTCGATGGGTTCGGGCAGTTGACGTATGAGACCCAACCAGGTCGAAACAGCTGTCCAGCAGTGCTTCCTAGATGTTCAGTTCACGCTTCATTTGCCATATACACGACGAACTCACGTTTGAAATTGAATCAAATCTTCCATTAATCACTTGAACTAAGCGTGGTGGAAAAAGGTGTACTAAATGAAGTGCTTTCCTTAGCGATGCTTACTACTCGCGGCTTGTAAATGTATCCATATCTCACCAACGGAGTTCACTTTAAGCAGATTTCCGTGAATGGTAAGGATTATTAATTTGAGTGATATTCGTATTTGATTTATTTCAGGACTTGTGAACGCAAAACACTGTCCCATTTGTGTGATGTTTGAGAAGTTTGTTCACTGGAGTATCGCATGCCATGTGGAAACACTAAAGCTGTGTACGAGATATGCCAAATGTTGTGACAATACAGACATGTGGTTTGAACGTTCTCCATTCACACTTTCTCATTCCTTAACCCAGCTTTGTAAAATCAACACTGGCAAAAAAAATGTTTCAACTTTCGTTGACCTCAGAGTATATTATCATTACGATACGTTTTGATCTGACTCACTTACAGCCTTATGACTCAAGTTTGTGCGTCTAGGCTATTGGACTACCGGGCGAGGCTAAAGCTTAATGGGGAAAGGTGTAGTTCAATCATAAGAAGAGAGGTTCTTCGCGTAAGTCTCAAACAAAATGTGTTCATTTCGCATGCTAGGAAGTGCTTGGTGCATGATTGGATCTGATTAGACCACGTCAGCATTGAACATTCATTGACACAACCCGACGGTCGTTCCCAAAATTTCTTACGTAGAATGCAAGCATGATTCCCACCTGATCCTCGAACGCATAGTGTACAGGATTTAGCCCAACCCGTCTACACCTTTCCTATCAAGTTTTAGCTAAACTCCCAAACCCTTAGCCTCAATCCGTAACCCTTTAACCAAAACCCGAAATGCTTTAGCCAAGACCCGTAGTCTCTTAGCCTCGACGCACAAGCTTTAGTCACGCTGCGTTAGGCGAGTCAGATCAAAAAGTATCAGAATATTCTGAAGTCAACAGATGTTGGAAAAAAAATATTTTCTACGAATGTTGATGTTTCAAAGTTTGGTTGAGAAATAACAAGGTGTGGGGGTTGTGTGCTGCAGCACATGTTGATTGGAGAAAGTTTAACCGATATGCCCGTATCGTTAATTGGACACATCGCTTCCAACTTCTGTGCCTAACATGCGATAGTCCTGGGAGTAAAATTCTCAATTGTAACTCATACCACACATTGTTTTACATTCATAAACCCTAAAATGAATCAACAGGTATATAATTACTGTTTCTTATTTCAACCTAAAGTGAAACCGGTTCTTGAGGTGTAGATACATTAACGGGTGGAGGATAATTAACACTAGTCACAGATGGTGGTTAAGTTACTTTACTTGGACAGCTTGTTTTTATCAACTAAGGCGCCGTTGCAATGTCCGGCGGTCTGTGATGGGTCGAATATATGCTACAGCCATTCGACCAGTGCTGCTCTATACGGCGGAGAAACTTGACCATTATGGGAACAAGGTAAAAATAGATTGTCGGTGCTCAGACACCGTTGTCTACGTCGTATTGCACGAGTCTGATGGAGTAACTGGAGGAGTATTGCTGAGGTTAGGCGTAGAGGTTTAGGAAATCAAGATAGTCCACTGGAATCAGTGGTCGACCTTCATAGATTACGCTAATTGAGACATGGGCTACGTATGTCACCAAATAGGTTGCCATGGCGCGCGATGTTTGCCGAGTCAGGTAACCGTTGGAAAACTATCAACTGCGGTCAAACGAGGACCTTGCATGAGGGTATGAAAACCAGGAGACTGGTTCACCCAGGTTCCGTTAGGCTCCTTGGGTGGGGACCCCGAGATGATGGTCGCTGATACTTAGAGACATTGAGTGATATAACTGGATGTCGCAAACAGTGGCGCTAATAAATCTCAATATTCCTGTAACATCAGTCTATATAAACTCACCATCTTCGGCTTGAAATTGCTCTCAACATTCTAATCTTCATTCTGCTCTTTTATCCAAATGGGCAACTAAAAGACTGAAACCGAAAACAGCTCACGAAAGTGGATGATCATTGGTTGTAACAACTGAACTGAATGGTTTGACGAGATACGAACACATCGGTTAGAGCTTCATGTTGGTTGGAGAACCAACATGTGTTACTGGATGCAACCCCCACACCTTATTTCTTAACCAAACTTTGCAACATCAACACTCGTAGAAAATATTTTTTTCCAACATCTGTTGACTTCAGACAATTCCGATACTTTTCGAGCTGACTCGCCTAATGCAGTTTCAAGGCTTAATGACTACGGATCTTGGTTAAAGCACTACGGGTTTTGGTCAAGGGAATGTAGGTTTGGACCCAAAGGATTACGGGTAGACGCTAAAGGGTTGCGGGTTTTGGCTAATGCTTGATAGGAAAAGGTGTAGTAGCGTCGCGGCAAACTTGGAACAAATACGGTAAATACTTTCTTCAAGCATCCGATCAATTTGTAAACATGGTGGATATTCGCGATTGAGCCAGGCCCGTTACGTACAAAGAAAAAACCACGCTCGAAGGTCTTTCCCTGCATGAGATGGCGCGGTATCAGAGCTGAAGGTCATTTCTGAATTGTTTCACATTTTAACTTCAAACATGTCTATAAATTTCTCGTTTGCATTCATGAGATGCTGACATTTGCAACAATGCTCATCATGTGTCCGTGCAATTCGTTTGAACGAGCCTTGTCATGCATGCCCATCCCACAAATACAGGCGAGTAACGATAAGGACGAATAAACGACATTAAGGTGAAGTTCACCCGGCGTTCGATTGTCATGAAAAAGATAATTACATGGGAAACGTTTGAATTTTGTGATCAAGCCCATCGATTACGCAATTGACCCGGTCATTGTCCTTGTTGCTGCCCGGATACCAAAAAATGTCGTTTCCCCCATCCGCCAAGTCAAATTACATTTATCAATCCAA